TATTATCCATTACTCATTATTTATTTTTCGTTGAATTTTAACAGTTATATCAAACAGTCCTTATTTATGTTTTCTCATGGTATTAATCAACATTAATTAACAGAAACGGAGAAATAATACATTTTCTTAAGATGAAGAAAATAACATCTACGCAGAAAAGGAAATTTAATCAAATCAGCCAGGCACGTGACCAAGGCAGGATCATCTCCACAGTCCCGGTTCGCAAAATTCAAATTTGAAAAGCAAACGGTCGCAAAAAATTCATCAGGTTGAATGTTCTCTCCACAGCCAAAATCAAACAAAATAGTTCCTTTTCCTTTCTCTGTAATTTTCAATTCAAAAGCTCTCACTGCCTTTTTTTCCTCTTTACTGTATTCAAATCAATACAGATCTCCCAAACTCTTTGGATATCTCCCAATTCAAATCATTGTACTCCTTTCTCTTTATCTATGGAGGATAGGAATCTAGAGTTATGGAATGCCCCCCATCTCCTCGCTGACACTTTTCCCCCACAACACAGCTCCAACGGTAAGAGTACCCACATCTTCTTCGTTTATTTCATGCTTTTGGGTTCTCTGATTTCTTGATTTATGTTCGCTTGGGCTTGGCAGATGCTGAAGAACCTAAATTAACGAGGTCGGAAAGTCTAACAATGGCAGATCCAGACTCTTCCTATAAGAGAGATGATGGTACCCTCCCAATCTCTTGGCTTCTAGAATTTTGTTTGTTTTATATGGAAACATTCTAGAGGGGTGTATCGGTGGTAATTACAAAGCTTGGTTTAATTTTCATTTTGTGGTTATTTTGTGTAGATTCTTCCTGGAAAAATCACAGCTTAGATGCAATTAGTATGCAAAATTTCAGTGACCCAGTTGGGATTAAGAAAGTTGATGGTAAAATTTTTAATCTTTGCACCATATTGTAGCAAAAATGGCGAGATTTCATGTTCTTTCGATCCACAAGAAAGTGATTGAATTTAAGGCTTATTTCAGGTCGGTCCATGTTGGGATTTTCTCTAACATCTCCTGACCTGGTTATATGTGCTGGTTCTCCGGATATTCCAACGGAAAGATATGGGTCCTCCCCTGAAATCTTGGAGAAGAACAGGTGTTCGATTGAACTCTCCTTGGAAAATGGCATCGATAAATCCAGTACTAAATACACCCACAAGACACCCTCTGTAAAGTTCTCAACGGTGTGCCAAACTTACGAGAAAGAATTGTCCCCGGAATCTTCCTTTGAGCTACTTCCTCCAACGCCTGCAATGCAAGATGATTTACAGAAGCAACGCTTTCCAGTCATAAGCATCAATGCAGGCTCCACAAATGAGGCAGCGGCATTGGATGGCGTAAATTTTTTGGAAGACAATTGTTTTTCTGGTGGTGATGTTACATGGACTGACACCATAATTGGAGATGGAAAGGGCCTTTCTTTGTACAAAACTGCGAGATATGGAAATTTTTCATACATGTTCTCATCATTGCAGTCTGGTGGTTATATTGTTGATTTGCACTTTGCAGAAATTATGTTCACTCTTGGTCCACCTGGGATTAGAGTATTTGATGTCTTCATACAAGAAGACAAGGTGAGAGAATTGAAAGTTTAATTATACATACTGCATTACATTCAATGGCTATGATTAGATGATGCTAGTTGAATTTTTTGTAGGTTGTGTCGAGCTTAGACATATATGGCCAGGTAGGCGCAAATAAACCTCTGGTGGTATCTGGCATCAAAACTTTTGTCAATGGTGACGAGGGCTTATTCATTAGATTTGAAGGAATTATTGGGAGTCCAATTGTTTGTGGCATTTCTGTGAGGAAAGATGATTTTGCTAGTAAGTTCAAATTTTACTCTTTTAGTTCGTTTCTGCTTGTTCATTTTTTGGTAAAAAAAAAAATCAATGTCTAACTTAAAAACTATAAATTGGTCAAATTTAGAAGCTTGAAAGGAAGAGATGGAAATTTAGCTCTGGGGTAGTGTTAGTTTTGTTTGGAAGCGGTCCCATTATGCAGTTTTTCTAGTTTTTAAATTTTTTCTTTTTTATCCATATATAGGAATTCAAGCTAAATGTTTAAATTAGTCTAGCAAAATTCAAAATCCTAATTAAGAAATATTTGTGAATCAGATTTCAAAGAAGCTGCTGACCAACTGGAAGTTAGGGGAATCACTGAAGTTGCAGAAGACAACTTGGCAAGAGTAATACTACTTTCGAAATTTAAAGGTTCATGGGTGTTAATTGTGACATAGAGAAAAATGTAACTTTTCAGATCATCTAAAATGATTGGATTGTGCAGGATATTGATGAGGGTGAGGTGAAAGGGGAATATCAAATGTTCCCAAAGGATCATGAGAGTCAGAAGAAGGAATTAATAGAGCTGAGGAGGGCCATGGAGGAGCTTAAAAGGGAGAATCAACTTAAAAACAAAGAGTGCCAAGAAGCTTGGAAATCTCTAAAGGAGCTTCAGAATGAGCTTATGCGTAAATCTATGCATGTTGGTTCTTTGGGTATGGGAATTGGATTTCTTTCCATTATTTTCTTAAAGAAATTCCCAGTGGACATATTTATACTGCTTTCATCTTGATGCATTTATTTTCCATGTTTTTATAGCCTTTGCAATTGAGGGACAAGTGAAAGAGAAGGGCAGATGGTTTTCATCATTGAGGGACATGACAAGAAAATTGAAGGTACTAAAATAGTACTAAATATTGAATCTTAGACCAATAAGAAATTGAAGAGATTCCATTAGTTTGAAAAATCTAAATTTACAGATAATGAAAATGGAACACATCAAGCTGTCAAAAGAGGCCTCAGTGTTAAGGAACTGCCTTGGAGATATTAACAAAATCAGTGAAACAATTCAGTCCAGAAGTAAGCTCATGCATAATTGAATATGCTTTATAATTTTCAATGACCTCATGAATTGCTTTCTCACTTTGGTAACTATTTCATCTTTTGAAAAGTAAACCAGCATGTGGATATTAATGAAGAGCTCAAGATTAAATTTATCAAAGGGGCCAAAGAACGGAAAGAACTCTACAACAAGGTTTTAGAGCTGAAAGGTTAGCACTCTAATTGATTCTATGTTAAGTAAGTGAGAGAAGTTGAAATTAAGAGTCCTTATTGATATTTTTTGGCATCAACATACAGGAAACATAAGAGTCTTTTGCAGGTGTAGACCTCTGAATAATGAAGAAGTTGCAGCAGGAGCTTCGTTGGCTATTGATTTTGAATCTGCCAAAGATGGTGAGCTCACTGTAATGTCAAATGGAGCTCCTAAGAAAACCTTTAAGTTCGATGCTGTTTTTGGCCCTGAAGCTGACCAAGGTAATCTCATTGTTAATGCTTGTTCTGTGCTCTTTTTAATATGCATAACATTTGTTGTCAGTGACATATTTTTGTTTTTGGACTTGTTTGTTTAGTTGATGTGTTTGAAGAGACCGCTCCACTTGCTACCTCAGTCTTAGATGGGTACAATGTCTGCATATTTGCATATGGGCAGACAGGGACTGGGAAGACTTTTACAATGGAAGGTATAGAAGAAGCTCGTGGAGTAAACTTTAGGACCCTGGAGAAGCTGTTCCAAATAATTAATGAAAGACAGAAGCTATTTCAATATGATATATCTGTGAGTGTATTAGAAGTCTACAACGAGCAAATAAGAGATTTGCTGGTGTATGGCACCCAGCCAGGTTTGGCTGCAAGAAGGTGTGCATGAGATCTATATCCATTTATTTCTATCTTATTATGTTTAACTTTTGTTCTTCTTCTGCTTCAATTCCTCTCCTTTCTCCACAAAAGTTTTCTCATACAGCATCGATTAGGTACCACATAGCTCCTTAGTACACCATAGATGAAAATGCCATTAACTTGATGAGAAAGTAAATATTTGAAGGAATGGATATTTATATGGGTAAGGGTAAGCATTTTCTAGTTATTCCAGAATGAAGTATTGCTGGATTATGTTCTGTTGTGTTGAAAGAAGAAACTTCTAGGGATATTCCATCTTAATTGCATGAAGTCCAAGTACTCCAAATGTTCCCAATAAATGGTGATTGAGATAAGACCTGATGTTTTTGAACCATTAATCTTGTTTCCATCCTCGTTGTAGGTGTAATTATTTGTGTTTGTCTTATTTCCTTTGTGATATCCACACAGAATTAGTACAACAACTTTAGTGAATCAATCTTTTCGAGCTTTGGTGTATTGAGCTTTAGCAGTTTGTTATGCCTCCATCACTGCTTTGGACAATTAATATCCTGTGGATTCTATAGCAGCTAACGTTTTCACTGTTATATCACCATTTGTAGACTTGAGGTAAGGCAAGCAGGTGAAGGAATGCATCATGTGCCAGGACTGGTTGAAGCACATATAAGCAACATGAATGAGGTTTGGGAAGTTCTGCAAACTGGAAGTAATGCAAGGGCTGTTGGCTCAACCTATGCTAACGAGCACAGTAGCCGGTCCCACTGGTACATTTCAATCTAGTTTCTTGATTGCTGCCCTTTACTAGAGATGTCAACAAACAATATTCTCAGCTCTGCATCTTGCTTGATACAGCATACACTGTGTGATGGTTAAGGGGGAGAATTTGCTGAGTGGAGAATGTACAAAGAGCAAGCTGTGGCTGGTGGACCTAGCTGGAAGTGAACGTGTAGCAAAGACAGAAGTGCAAGGCGAACGTCTCAAGGAAACTCAAAATATCAATAGATCTCTGTCAGCGCTTGGTGACGTCATATCTGCTCTTGGAACTAAAAGCCCTCACATTCCATTTAGGTTATAACAATAAATAGATGAGGCTTTTTCAATATTTTTATTGTGTAATTAACTGCAAAGGGTCTATCTTCAATATTAAACTTCAGTGGTTTAATGGTTTCTTCCATGCAGGAATTCAAAGCTTACTCACTTGCTCCAGGACTCTCTAGGTAATTTTCTATCTTTATACCTCAAAAATGAATAGTTTTTTAACTATGGAGAACAAAGGGTCAAAAGTTAAAA